CCCAGGTTAGAGTGACAAGGCATCAGCCTAGCTCACAGCAACCTCCAACTCCCAGGCTCAAGCAATCCTCCTGCCTCAGCCTTCCAAGAAACTGGGACTACAGGCATGAGCCACCACGCCAGGCTAATTTTTCCTATTTTTAGTAGAGATGGGGTCTCGCTCTTGCTCAGTCTGGTCTCGAACTCCTGAGCTCAAGCGATCCTCCCACCTCAGCCTCCCAGAGTGCTAGGATTATAGGCGTGAGCCACCTCGCCTGGCCAAAAAAGTAGAAGTTACTTTTTCCTTTCTGTATCTCAGACATACTGCTCTTTAGTACTCTAATGTAATAACTACATGTTGTAATAAAGCTAGACTTACTCCAGATTTGTTCTAAGAACAGGGCAATTTTAAAATTGTGATGAAACCTGAAAGATAAGACTGGGGAACAATCTTAACTTCAAGAGTGATAAGACTTGACTTGGATACCAAATCTGCCATGTTGCAATGGGGTATAACTATGAGTGATCACTTAGCATCTCTGAACCTCTTTCTTCATCTTTATACTGGGGATCATAAAGTGGCTATGTATATGAAAGTGCTTTTATAAATTATAAGAGTTCATAAAAATTAAGCAGGAAATTGCTTTTGGAAACTTCATATTTAAATATATATTTTGGAATGAATTTGAAGGTACACAAAGGTCTAGATTATAAACTCAAGATAGGATGTGAGGGCAATCTGGCTGTGACATCTGTCACTCCATTGATTGCCAGGGTTGATTTTGTTAACAGAAGAAATAATGAAGTTCATAGTTTGCAAAGAAGAACTTTATTTCTTATGAAGGGTTGTAGCCTGTGGATAGCCATTTTTGCAGGCTGGAAAGCAGAGCCCCTGGCCATAGCCAGGAACACATACTTCAAGGGAGGGACATGGGAAAAGGAATTTATGCTGAGCAGGGTGGCCAAATATACATATTTAATAAGCTATAGGAGGAGTCATGAATATTTATGAAAGGAGAAACAGGTGCATGTACAGTCAAGCTTCATAACCCTTTACAGGGTATGTGTTTAGAATATGGCAGCCCTCTGGTGTCAGAAGGTGAAACAAGGACACGAAAACCCTCTGCATTTGCTTCCTAGACTGCTTAAACCACTTCATGCTTGGTTATCTCTCATCAGGAAAGAATGCTGGTCTGGATCACCAGATTGTTTTCTGTTTAGCCCCTGGGAAAAACAACCCATGGCAGTTAGCAAGGGAGGAAGTGTAAGGAGGCATGTCCTACCTCCCATCCTGTCGTGGCTGGGAACTCAGTTTTAAGGTTTCTCTAGGGTCCTCTTGGCTGAGAGAGGGGTCCAATCAGCCAGCAGGGGGCTTAGGATTTTATTTTTTAATTCATGATTTATACTATCTGATAATAAATGCATTTTTCCAATGTAAATTTAGGTTCTGCATATGCCACAGATTTTTCAAATGCTAGTACAACTGGACTTTTTGACCCGTATGAGGTAAAGATTTTTTCTTCTTCCTTTTGAGTTACCTGTTTTTGTGTAATAGAGGTTGGATTTAAAACTTTTTTAATTAATTAATTTTTAACTGACAAAACTTTTATATATATGTCATGTATACCATAATGTTTTGAAATGTTTATAGATTTGAAATATGTAAATATTTATATTCTGATGATATACTTCTATGCTCAGATGTGTTGGAGTGGACTCATTACTTCCCTGCTTTCAATACCACTCTCTCTCCTGCCTCCTGTGAAGGACACGAGGTAATAATGAACATTAGACATTGAAACCAGCAAAATTCTTGAATTCACTTTACTTTGGTGGGGAAAAGCATTTTATTAAATGATTGAGGGGCTTATATGTTTATTATATAACTTTTTGTCCTATGCTAAAAACAATTTGCTGAATTTTAGAATTAATATTTCTAGAACTGTCACTAACTTTTTAATCAATTTTATTTGAAGCCACTATTTTGGATCAGTGGATGAAGAAATATTTGGTGTGCCTATACCAATAGTTGCCTTGGTAAGTAGAAAACTTGAGAGTTTCCCTTTGTATGGTATAAATTAAATCAATATATGTGACTAATTGGAACTAGCATTAAGAGAACTAAAAGGTCCTTGGCAGAATAAAATTAAAATATCTTTTTTTTCTTTTTAAGTTAAAGGAACCTGGATGTTACCAGAAGTATCCTCTATATTTTTAGAAAGGGGAATACTGGGGCAGGCTTTTATCATGGAAGCACTACATAATCTTCTCTGACTTGTATATTGTTTTTCAGAAAACCATGACATTTTTAAAGATGTATTCTGAATAGTGTTTAGTTTATATTTGGTAGTCTGAAACAAAAAACAGTGATGGGGGCCAGTGCTTAGTTTATATTTGATACAGTATAACCATAAACAGTGTTAGGGCAATTTAAACTAAAGGAAAAAGTTGTATGTACATGTAATAAAATCTTTAGCCAGCATCTACCAGTAAAGAAACTTGTGGAAGAATGAAAAATATACTGGTTTTGATTTTTAAGGATCCTTTCACATTGCTTTTGATTTCCTGCAATAGCTTAAACAGAGGTAGAGACCACCTGTCCCTAGACGGACAGTCCCCACAGTTGCTGGGGGAGCTGGCAAGGGAAGGGGAATTTAATTCCCAAGTTACACATTCATTGTCATTTAGAGAGGATCAGTCTTATTCAGTCTAGGGATAGGTTCAGGGTAGGATTAAGGTATGGCTGGAAGAATTATGTATTAGTGAGAAATGGTTCTTTCGATGTGTTTTGATCCTTGAAATATTGCTGTATGTATGTCTGCATTTGACTATGTTAACAAAATGTTATGATTTTTCTTTTAACAAAAATGTATGATTGGGAAATGGATGTTTTTGACTTACATCTATTTATATTAAAACATGCACCCATCACTTAATAAAAGTTTGTGAGGGTCAGTTATTTTGACTAATGAATGAAACCTCTGTAAGTTGAAAATGAAAAATCTTAGTCGGTTTTTTTCCGTACAATTTTTATTCTTACCTTCATTTCTAAGATAATTCATATGATACTTAAAAGTCATGAAGTAGGTTGCCCATTAAAAATTCCTCAGGCACATTAATTATCCATACAGTATTAGCCCTAGAGAAACTCCTATCCTATAGTTATTGCTCTCTGTTCTCTTTGGGATTTTATTTTACTTACTTAAGGAACAAGAAAATGGTTAATCATGAGAATACAATGAATGAGGCGATGGAATATAATGAAATGGACCATCACTAAGAGCAGTGGGTCTTACATTTGAACATTTTTGGTAGGTCGCCGACCAGCAGTCAGCCATGTTTGGAGAGTGCTGTTTCCAGACAGGTGATGTGAAATTAACCATGGGAACTGGAACTTTTTTGGATATTAATACTGGAAATAACCCTCAACATACTGTTGGAGGTAAATAGTTAGAATTTATCTTATTTATTAATAAAATATCATTTCTATTCATTTTTAAATTTTATGATACTTATACCATTTTTCCATTTTATGTTAAGGATATTCTCTAACATGTTTTTCATTATTATTCTTTTTTTTTTTTTTTTTTTTTTTTTTTTTTTTTTTTTTTTTTTTTTTTTTTTTTTTTTTTTTTTTTTTGAGACAGAGTGTTGCCCAGGGTAGAGTGCCGTCGCGTCATCCTAGCTCACAGCAACCTCAAACTCCTGGGCTCAAGTGATTCTCCTGCCTCAGTTTCCCAGGTAGCTGGGATTACAGGCGCATGCCTGGCTAATTTTTCTATTTTTGGTAGAGACAGCTCTTGCTCAGGCTGGTCTTGAACTCCTGACCTCAAGTGATCCTCCTGCCTCAGCCTCCCATAGTGCTAGGATTACAGGCATAAACTACTGCGCCTGGTCCCAAAATTTATCTTTAAATGTTTCCATTTGCTTTTCTTTTTATTTCAGTTATTTATTTAACAAGCATTTTTTTGAACATCTGCTACATGCCTGGAACCCTCCTAGGTATTGGGATTATGAATGTGAATGTCCCTGCTCTTGAGGAGCTTAGCCTCTAGTAGAGAAGCAGTAATGCTGTGGATAATGGAAGGTATCCATAGAGTACTGCAGACTGAGTTAGGAGGGGTGTGTATGTTGGTGGGAGGGGAGCTCAGGTTGGACAAAGCCAGGAAATGCTAGTCTTGAAGGACAAATAAGAGTTGGAGAGGTGATAAAATTCATTTCAGGAAATTGTTCTCCAATATGTTAATAACATACTAACAAGCATTTCAGTTTCTCTACTAGCTGTTTTAAAGAGGTTTTGACACTTTTGTTTCCCTTGCCATGCTTTAGGCCAAGGATTGGAAATTTTTTTTCTGTAAAGGCCAGATAATAATATTTTAGGCTTTGAGGGTCATAAAGTTTTTGTCAGAACTACTTGGCCATTGTAGTGTGAAAGAAGCCGTAGGTAATCCATAAATAAATGAGCATAGCTGTGTTCTAATAAAACTTTATGTATGCACAAATTTGAATTTCATATACTTTTCATGTGTCACAAAATATTCCTCCTTTTTTCGTTTTAAGCATTAAAAATCATTCTTAACTTGCTATACAAAACAGGCAGTGGGCTGGATTTGGCCTGTGGGCCATAGTGTGCCATCCCTGCTAGTGTATTTGTATGTATACTTTGCTTTTTTTTTTTTTTTTAAACACAAAAGTAACTAACACACGCTTGGTATAAAACTTAAAGCCTTTCAGAAATATTGTATAGTAAATGCAAATCTCCTCCCTTTCCCCGTGCTAAATTTCATACCCTGTAATAATCACTTAGAACTATTTGAAATATATTCTAGAAAATTGTTTTTCTATGTATAAATTTTTATCAAAAATTTATCATATCAGTGGATTTGCACTTAATCATGAACTTAATAATTTAGTCTTTTTGAATTGATTTTGTACTGTTGTATTTTCAAGGTACAAAAGGCAGTTGAAGAAGAAAATTGTTGCTTTGGGACTATTGATACCTGGTTGTTATATAAACTAACAAAAGGTAAAGATGTTCTGACAAATCTATCTCAAGTAACTGAAATTTG